ACTGAATAATAATCGGAATCCCTTCTAAAATTATTGAATCACTGCAGAAATGTTCAGCGCCACTTTGGAAAGTACTAAATCACAAAGAAAATGTCTAAATCACTTCGGATAGCTCTGAACCACTTAAAAATCACTTCTAAAAGGACCGAATGATTCTAATTTTATTCGTCTTTGGAACTTGAAAAGTTCTAAATGACTTGATGAGTTCAAATTTAACGATTTTTTATCCCTAATCATGCATATCAGGGGCGCAAGTGATTTCAAATTTATTATTTTTCAATTATTTTCTGAACATGACTATTAGAGGCGCAGGCCATTTCAAATTTCAAGGTTTTTATCACTTTTTTGTCATGCTGAACATGCGTACAAGGAGCGCAAATCATTTCAAATTTTACATTTATTTTATTTATTTTCCTTTTCGTTTATTTTAAGGGCACTTCAAATGTTACGATTTTTATAAATTTTTCCCTGAACATGTTTACCAGGAGCGCAACATTTCAAATTTAGAGATTTTTCAATTTTCACCTGAACATGTATATCAGAGATTTGTGAATCAGTGGCGCAAGGTAACATTACCTAGTGAAATGTATTTTAAGTATTTAACTTTTTCGGTTATATATTGCTCTCATTAACACGTCTATAAATCTTTTTATTTTATTTTGGAAACCATTTTTTTCGGTTTGGAGCTAAGTAGTCATCGACTACCCGCGACTACCAACAACCACAGCACTGTTTCCAATAAGTAGGAGTCACTTTCGTAATTATTTTTGAGAGGCATTGTGTACTACCGCAAACTACTATATTAGAAATAATCTCAGTGATTATTCACTTCCGCTAACAGATACATCTACCGTTCCAAGTTCCCCACGCACTTCTTTCTCTATGATGCACGGTATATGCATTTAGGTTAACATCCGCCGTTCCTCCTTCTTTACATATTCTGCACAAAAAGTACATCCGAAGTCCCTCCTTTTTAACATATTCTGCACAAAAAAATACTTTCTAAGCCTCGCTTCTGACAGGATTTACCGCATTTTTTTATTAATGGCGCGGGACAGAAAGGATGGAATTCGGATGTTAATCTAATTGCATATATAGAGGTACCAGATCTGAATAACAGTCAGTTGTTAAAAATGCATGTCATCATATGCCTCTTAAGCAATTTGTTACTTATAATTGTAGTTTGGTTAACAATAATTTCCCGAAAAAAAAAAAGTGATCCTCAAAGACATTGTCTTTTTCGGGTTGTCGTTATAGGAGGGGGGATGTTTTTCATATCTAATTTTTTCCAGTTTCGATAAGTCATACGGGACCCAAGTCTCATCCCACCTCAAAGTTGTCAAGGTGATCACGCCGTGATTCTCCTTTATCCGCTGACTTGCTCCTGCTTGCTGCAGGACTAAGTGCCACGCCGTCCGAAACAGGTTATGAGCAAAGGCAGGAAAGCAGCCCTGTTTTATATCTTTTCAGGTTCAAGCAGAATGATGTGCAACCAAGTGGTACTCGTTTATGATGACTGGGTTGGGAAAAACGTTTATTTCATGAAAACAATGATAAAATTATTATTTGCGCAATTTTAAAAAGTGTGTTGATTAAAAATTGGAAAAGTATTTATTTCAGCAGATTTGTTAAGTAATATCCTATCGATTGGCCTATTTGGATTTTAATTTCATCTATAAATGACAAAGTTACAAGCGTTCAAAACCTAACACTATTTCACCACACATATTTTTTGATTTGCACCCCAGTATAGTCGACAAACACGTATTTCTACGTCAAAATTGTATGAACGAGGGATGCTCCGGTTGCACATCAATGCTTGAGAATGTAGATGATAGAGGGGCTAGTGTGCATGCAAAATACGCTTGACGATATATTTAAAAAAATCTTTTAAGAGTTATGTCTGTTTGTCTGTGTTCAAACAGTGAATCAAATGCAAAGCGGAATCGCCGAACTGTGGCCCATAAGAGGTCGGATGAAGAAACGTTGCTGCTTATCCAGCTGGTGGAGGAGCAACATTCTGTACGAAATTTTGGTGCTGCAGATTATAATAAGCTTCCAGTTCGTGATGCTGCATGGCGAGGAATAGCTGAACGCTTTGACAATCAGGACTACTTGTGGAAACGTGTGTATGTTTTATATTGAACAGAAATAAATATAATCACCTTCAGGTATATTGACTTTAAAGCATTGCTAAATGGTACAATTGAAGATATTGTTGGCTGCAAAAATCGAAAAAGAAATGCAAGCGAGCAGAATAATTCTCCAGTTGCAATGAAACGCGAAGTGATTGCAATACGTTGCGATGCGGAAATACTTTTGCGAAGATGTGTGTGTATCAATTTTAGTTATGCAACAAGTTGCAACAATTCTTCGAAGTTTTCTCTACTCATACGTAAAAACTATTTGAATTTGATTGGATCCTCAACAGCCAATTATGTCATCAGTTTCACATGGAAACCATCGCTATCCCATTTTTTGACATAATTACAAACCTACATACGCCTACGTTTCGTGGGTGGTTCATAGTCTTCCATTGCTTCTACATACAAAGTTCTCAGCAGCAGCTATACACGAAACAACTCAAAATTAAGTCTTTTGCACTCATCTTGACACCTGAGTGCAACCAGTCAAAATTGAGTTATTTCCGAAGTATACAATTTTAAGTTTTTTGCGAAGACTTCGTTTTGAGTAAAATGTAACTGTTTCAAGAATAGTGATGATTGGATGAAAACTACTTAAAATGGGGTTTTGTCTTTAAAAATGATTCATTAATTGCGTTATAATTTATGTTCAATGTTTACGTTCAGTATTGATAAGCAAACATATAACTTTTATTATTCTTATGAAAAATGTAACAGATTTAAACAAATTTAAAAAAATCGTCCATCGCTGACCAACGGTGCGGTGAGAAGAGTACTTCTTCAAGGAAAACTATTTATCCTTGAGATTGGCTAACATAATACCAGAGTTGAGATCCCATCTCCTGATGAATATTTTCGAAGCACCCGTTGCTGCCTGGAGTTGGAATCACGATTGCACCAGTTCACTGTTTAGGATCATGAAATGAATTTTACGTTAGGTATTTGCACAGAAAATTCACTAAAGGTAACAAACCTGCTTTACTGCCTAATGTACGAATGGATCCGTATTGATCCCAGAAATAAACGGTGCTGTATATTTCCATCTATCACCGGAATAGCACATCATATCCTGCCGCTTTGGATCGTATCATGTCTATAAGAAATTGAAATTACAATAATTGTCTGACCCTGATTTCAAATGCATGACGTAAACTTACAACAACTAACAGTCCGTTGATCCAGCAGTAATGTTATTTTACTATATCGATTCGACACTGATTCAACTTCAATTAACTAAATTATTAAACTTTTGCTTCCGACAAAGCGAAACTGAAAGAAACATGGCGTACGATGAGATTTTTCATCCAAAACGAAGTGCAATCGCAACACTCGATTTTGGATACTTTCAAAGCACGGGATACGAAACAATTTAAAATTGAGATAAATGTCTTCAAAATTAAGAGTTTTCTCAAAACCGCTGCTTGAGTACAATTAATGTACAGTAAGACGACATCGTTATACTTCAAGCTTAAGTTAAAAGTACTCATCAATGAGAACAAAATTATACCCAAAACATTAGTCTTGCGAGAGTACTTATTTTTAAGTACTTTCGATCTCGGTTTTGAGTTGTTTCGGCTTTCCGTGTAGCAGCTATAATAGCTTTTCTTTTCCGCGATCCAATTGGCATTTTACCACTTTAGATTTGAATCAAAATTCTATGAATTTTAAACTCTTCCGTTTACTCGTTGCCTTTCAAAGTGATCACGATCTACAGATAAACTGTCATATTTCTGACGTTGTCAATTATTTTAGTCTTTACCAAGTTTCTCTGTCCGTACAGTGTAATCTAGACATGCTTAAAAAGTCTGTCACAGTCTACGAAAATGACCGTCAAAACATAAATTAAAAAGAATTAAAAGAAAAAAACTATCTACGTGAATAATGAACAGCCCCCAACATGTGACCACTGAGAATGTGAGCGAAAAATACTGATATACGTTACCTTATTTTTAAGGTACTTTGGTCCAGGTTAAAAGATTCAGCATCACCCAAACAAACAAATAAATATCATGAATTAATATAGCTTAACAAATAATCAGTCGTCGGGTTCATATTGGTATTTGAAAGATAAGATCGCACTTTAGGGGGACCAGTTAAAAAAATATGACTTTTGACGCCAAACATTAAATCAGCATCCCAAAATATACACCAAAGTCACAAGTTCAAATCTCGGACAAGTCATAAATGACCCAAGAGTACTAAAATGACAAAAAATTGCTCTTAAGAGATAGTATGATTCTTTATGACCGACAGATTTTATTAACGTTTCTAAATAAGTTTTATTTTATATTCCAACCTAGATTCAGATTGCCACTCACATCAACATCGCTCAATTCTACCAGCCTACCACGAACGTAAACAGCGATTTGCGTTGTGCGCTCGCAGCCCCGCATTAGATAATCGCATATTATTGTGTGCTTCTTTCTGTGGCTGCAAAAAATACCATAGGTAGGGTGGAGACCGGCTTCAGTCCCCCTGTGACCCTATTCCAAGCACGGGGTTTTCCTAAAGAAAATGAATCAAAAATCTATCCAAAACATGGTGTACTAGACCCTCTCTAATGTGAAGCATCATACAAATGAGCGTTGAATGTTATTGTTATGCTCGAAATAGGGTCTCGGGGGGGGGGGCGAAGCCGTTCTCCACCCTACATATCGAACGGATTTCTCGCATCTACACATGCTCACCTCACCATCACCGTACACTTATCTCAGCGCGCGCACACGGGCACTCGCTCGCGAAACCACATGGCCATTACTCCGAGCAGATCTCTCTGCGTTCCTCTTACACGAATCACGATAACCACACTCGCACTCTTTCTCTTCTTTGAACTGCTAATTTGACACTGGTCACTGCGGCGACGATCCACGCGACACGAGAGAGAGAGATCCTGTCATCATTGGCCTACGGACGTGTATTTTTATTTTGATCATAAAAAGATAGTAGTTTTTGTTTTCATAGGAAAAAGAAGCGATTCGATCTTGTACGAGGTGATTTCGAGTGATAATCGTTGCTAGTGAGAGGTTGTGATGTGACAGAATGAACGTTGTCCGTTTGAATTTTCAAAATGACAAGAAACAGTATAGACAGAAGGTAACAGTGCCTGATCTTTGGAGCTTCTGCTGAGAGCGGCGCTGGTTGCTGCGATCGTTCGGGTGAAGAGCGGATAGTGCCGACGAAGGAAAGATGGTGATCAGCGCCCCGGGCAAGATGTTTCTGGTAACTTGTCTGCTGTTCGCTCTATGCGTATCCCTGTTCTTCGTGGTGGTATCGATGAAAAAGAACGAAAAAATACTCCAACGTGAAAACTTCATCCGCCGGGGTCAGTCCAGGCAAACCGAAGCCGGTGCCACCAATCATTGGTACTTTGTGGTAAGAGGTAGGTGTTTTTTTTAGCAGATTCCAAACGATAAGGTTGACTTATCGAAGCGAGGAAGTTTGCTGTTATCTGTTTGAACTGTAATCGCTTGCCTCACCATTTCAATGTAGATTAGATAACGTCCATGCTATGTTTGTATGAAAGTTGCAAATTGTGTCATTATTGATAGAACAACAAATACCTAGTGTGAACAAGAAGGGAATGGCTGAATAAAAAACCGATCATTAGCGAGTTTCGTTTGAACGAACGCGCCTAAACTGAGCCGCACAGCAACATCTAACGAGCTGAGTTGCTCATTCATCTCATGTTGGTAGGAGTTTGCGTTGGTTGCTACTTAAGCGGTGCGGTAACGAAGGGGCGCACGCTGACTAAGTGAACACCTTGACCGTGTGATCAACTTACTCACTCCTCATTCGCTGTTTGTGGGCTTGTAGGTACAATGTGACTGCGCGAACTAACTACTTATCAAAAGGGTATTTAACGGTAATGACGCCGTCGGATAAAGTCACGGATGTTTACGATTTTCAAAGGGATCTTTTTGTCAATCTATGACGCATTAGTCATCGATTGTTGACGAATGTGGACGATTTTGAATTTATTTTTCAAGGATCATAGATATATGCGTTTCAGTACATTCCTAACAAACAAACTGGAGCATTCAAATTTGTAATAGGGAGTAACCTCCGTTTAAGATGTACCGCAAAACGGAGTATCTTTGATAATGCGGGTAACTTTGATAGTATAATATAAAGATTAAATTTACTCGCTGCGCTTTTTCCAAATTAGAAACATTGATTCCATATCGTAGCTTAGGGTATTTCCGTTGATATCATATATAGTTTTTATATAGTATGTGTTACATATTTTACAAACATATTATAAAACAATTTTCGTGTCTTTCGCCTGTTTGAAAAAGCACTCAAACCATCACTCATGAAATTTATTTCCGATATAGCCATCACAAATTCAATGTTGTATTCTTATTGGTTATGAAGTCTTCTGATTATATACTCATTCAAAGTTTCATATTAAAAGAACTAAATTGATTGAATTTTACTAATATTTTTCTACATTTATCGAGCATTATCAAAGGAACCCCAAATCAAAATACTGAAGTTCGGTCACAAAACTAAAAATATAGTGCAAATGCTTTAATTTTCGTTCAACATATTCCTAACGAATCAACTCTTGGATCATCAGTACTTGTTTTTAAAATATAAAATTTGAAAAACATTCATTGCTGTAAAAAATATTTAGAATATACTTTAAAAAACTATCAATGTTACCCCGTTTTACGGTACCCTAATATAGGTTCAATCGAAGATGTCAAATCAAGAAGACTGGCAACACTGCCAGAATCTAAGCGACAGATACAGTAGCGCTGCGCTCGAGCGAAGGTGGAAGTAACGCATAGAGAAATGAGCAAATACACAAACCATTCTTCTGTGGTTGTGTAATCTTTGCTATCAAATACGTTCAAACATTTACCTTTTCGCGGCAGATGACGCGATTGTGCCGGTCTCATAGCGGTCACATGAAAAAATGGTAGAATTGCCAGTCTTCTTGATATGTTGTCTTCGGTTCAATGGAAGTAATAATCTGGGTTCATCTGACACTCATTTGTCTTAATGACCTCATACCTTGCATACTATCTGTTAAAAGCTACAAATTTGGCAGAGTTAAAAAGTCATTGTTTGTCAATTTTAAAGTGTCCATCGTTTTAAATACAGTAATGACCCGATTTTGTCAGCCCATTCAATAATGTTAGATAACCGTAATTCAAAATCTTTCTCATTCATCTTCAAGATGGATGTTTGGGTATACTTAGGTGCAATAAGACCACTGAAAAAACGCATTACTTTGGTAGAGCATTAGAACAGATTTTTTAAAATAGGGCTTACAAAATCGGGTCAATACTGTATGTATTCCAAAAACTAGTAACATTCAACGGCTGTGCAGATAGAAGGTTGCTGTCTTTGGAAAAGTTGTTCTCATGAATAAGAGCTGGTTCAGGTGTTCAGATAAGATCTGGTGGACAGTTCAGAATTCACTCACCAGGAGGCACTAGTACGCCATTTTACTTATAATAACGGGAAGCCTACAGCCCCGGGAATAAAAATTCATGTTGATGTTCTAAAAGTATTGGAAAAAGATACCGAAAATCTAAAAAAAACTTTTTTTTCTCCATTTCTAACTCACTAAATTTACTGAGTACAGTTTATATGGAAATTTAAATGGGAAAATCAAACTTTTGATCATTGTCTTCTAGCCTTTTTCTGTATTGTATTTAAAAAAAAAATCTATAGCTATTCTTATGGGAAATTTTCTCAGCTACAACTTTGCACAGGGTCGTGTTTGAACCAAACGTCAAATTAAATTGTTATTAATTCTTTAAAGGATTGATCATCTTGTGGCATGATCAAGCAGCTGTTTTGTGCAACAGCTGTATTCTGCAGTATGACATAGTAGCCATGATGTTTGTGCTCCATCCTACAAGTCAGAAACACCAATTTTTCCTACTGAAAAGTTAAGAGAGTATAATCAACCGGTGGAAACTAACGATTTTAAATTGGCTCACACTGGACTAACCTATCGGTCCCAAGTACATCGATGGACCTACAATAGAGGTAACTCTAAGATCAGAAGGTCCCGAAGAAACGTGCTCAACTTTTTGGCTCAGCTCTGATACTATCTTTGGTCCCAAGCTAATCGATGCACCCCTCCAAACATAGGAAAATCCACGAGCCCCTCATTTTATCTGTCAAACTTTCATAGCGAATCAAAACAAACATAGTGTAGTAATAGAATTTAGACTAGACCTCCACTTTCGCTCTCGAATTTCTGTTGCTATCGGCTTCTGATGACATCGACGATGGAGCTCGGCATTCGAGATCCAGTTGTGAGGCCACCAGGCACGAATTATATACCGCAGGCATCGGTTGATGAAGACCTGCAGCTTTTGAGTGTTCTCCACTGATACACACCACGTCTCGCTGGCGTATAACAACACAGATTTCACGTTCGAGTTGAAAATTCGGATTTTGGTGCGTTGACTTATCTGGTTGGATCTCCATACGTTTCGTAAACTCGCAAAGGCAGCCCTAGCCTTCTTGATTCGTGCACCTATGTCGCTCTTGGTCCCGCCGTCCGACGCTATTTGGCTGCCAAGATGTTGGAAACTTTCGACCTTCTCCACTGCTTGCCCCGCTACCGTAAACTTGGAAGGGTTGCCCGTGTTGATATCCAAAGATTTGGTCTTGTTGACGTTGATGGTGAGACCCACCGCAGAGGAGCGTTTGGCTACGTCATTGAGCTTACTCTGCATATCAGAGCGCCGTTGTGCTAGTAGAGCAACATCATCAGCCAAATCGAAGTCGTTGAGATGCTCCATGGTGATAGGCTGCCAAAGCAGCCCATGGTTCGGTACACGGTCAATTGCACCTACCATGATCTCGTCGATAACGATGAGAAACAGTAGCGGTGATAGTATACATCCTTGTCTCACACCAGCGACTACCCGTTTAGTTGATCAGGAGGTCAAGGAATAATCCGGAATTCTCTCGCTAGATGGCGCTAGTGATGGAAATTACTGAACATTAAAAGAATAATGCGTGAATGGACTGATAAAATCAGGTCATTACTGTAGTTTATATTTTAATGGATATTAAGAGACCAAACTTGCTTACATGTATAGGAAAAATCCCAATTTATTCACCTATGGTCTGACCTTATTTACACTCAACATGACTACCAATGATCTTATTTAAAAAATTTCACGTCATTTGATGTGGCACATGATTGATTTAAAAAAAAGTCAAATCTGGCCACTTCCCCGGTGCAACCCGGAACATATCCAGATTCAGCAAATCTGGTTCAGGGTACTAGATATCATTGTTAATGAACTTGTTTTCGAATTCTGATGTAATTTATTGTGTAGCATGATGGGTTTTGAACTTACTCATAAGCTGGTTATTTTCACTAAGAACTTGTTCCGGCCGTATCTCCGGAATTGTATGACCAATTTTGAAACTACGTGTATGACCAATTTTGAAAGACGTTCTAGGTCATCCAAAGCATTCTGTAGTTTAGAACATTTGACAACCAAGGCCTGCACAATGTCCTCAGCGTCGAAACTTGCTCAAACATGTTCAAAGAGGTTCTGTACATCGCTCATGATCAGTTTGATGTATATATGATGCTCAAGGTTCACCAAATTGTCGTTGATCTCAGATCAAATAATGTACCAGGTCAGTCATAACCGGTACAAGGCCCTTACTGCCGTGAGATGACAAAGTGACGTTCTTCATATTCATAATCTATACCCTAAGATAAACCAGAAAACACTCTCTTCGTGATAAAAATGTGTTTTGGAAGCCTGGAGACAAAGTGACGTAACTATACATTTTCGGAGAAAGAGTAATATGTTTTCACTGTTTCTACGGATAAGTGACGTCCACCATATAGGAATGTTGAAAACTCAAAAGAAGTTTTAAACAGTGAGGTTCATATTTTCCGCTTTATTTTGACATTTTTTAACAGAATGAATTTTTTTCGGCAAATTTTTATAATTATTGCAAGTTTATGCACCCAGGTCCATGACTATAATGCACATCATTTTCGTTGTAATTGATGGTGTATGAGATGTTCTAGGTTCTCCAAGTTGCTTTGGAGTTCAGATTATTTGATCTACTGGCTCAACCATGAACTGCACGATGTCCTCAGCGACAAAACCTACAAAAATACGTTCATAAAGTTTCTGCGGATCGTTTTTGATTTATTTTGATTTATAATCAATGTTCTCCAAATTGTCTTGAGCTCAGATCAAATGATTTATCTGATCAACCATAACTGATACAAGGTCCTTAGCAACTAAACATCTCCAAACAACATCAATTTAAGGTGTATGTAGAAGTAGAAGTAGAAGTTTTAGGTTCTTCAAATTGTTCTAGAGGTCAGATTATTTGATTTACTGGATCAACTAAAATCTGCACGTTGATCTC